TAAGACACAAAAAAATATAATACTTTTATTAATTATATTATTAAAACAATTAATTCAAAACAAAAATAAAGAAATTAACTTTTTAATTTTACTAAATTAAAGGAAACTATTATACTTATTAATCAAAGTCTAGCAATATTTTATACAATATTTAATAATTTTAATAGTTTGAATTCTTTGATTATTGAATAAATAATTGTTACTTCAATAAAGTTCTTACTAAAATCTTTTTATGTTTTTTTGCTAATCTACTTCATTCTATTTATACTAAAATGAAACTATTAACAAAAGGAAAACACTACCAATACATTCATTTAGTCCTTAGTAAACAGTTAAGAAATATAAAGAAAGAATTAATTTTCTTTTTAGAATAGAATAAATTAGTTTTTATAGCTCTAATCTTGAAGATAATTTGACTCAAAAGATTATTATTTTATACTCAATTCAAATTAAATAGAATTATTACATAACTATGATCTGAGGTTAAATAAAACGTTCAAAAATTTCGTTGTTATTAAAAGAAACTATGATAACGATTTTTATGAAAATAAAATTAACTTCTGTAATGGAAGGTATAAAATAAAAATATGAAGTAAATATGAACAATGAATTGACTTAATGTTAGTATGTAATTAACAAGATGATAACTACAAAACACAAAAATTTTTGTTATTTACTTTATGCAAATTTCTAGGATTTATAAAAATATTTAACAAAAAATAAATTTGACAAAGTATTAAATAAGAAAAAACATATATAAGAAAGAATATAATTGTTTCTCGTACACACATAACTGAGTTAATTAATTCTTGGTACAAATAATATTTAAATAACACTAACAAAAAAGTCATCAGTTATTAGATTATCTACAATTTTATTATCACTGTATTAAGAACTGATTATTTCAATAAATTTGATTATTTTACTTCTGTTATAAAGTTTATTTTCAAATATTTGGATTAGATTGTCCCTCCTCTAAATGTACTTCTAGAACTTATTTAAAAAAAAGAATAGGATTTAAATTAATAAAAAGAAAGAATTTACAAATCAAAAAAGTTATTAAAAAAGTAAAAATAATGAGTGGGAAATCTTGTTGAAAAAGAAAGGATTTGTGGAAAAAAAAAGAATAAAGAAGAATTTTTACGAGATAACATAAAATAATAAAGTTCTTTTTGTAGAAAAAAAAAGACTCATCGAAGAACTTGAAGAGACAAATAAACAATGCTCTCTGAACATCAACGCCTTAGAAAATCTGCGTCAATAAAAATTCAAAAAGTTGTTCAAGAACAACATTCTAAAGCATATAAGGATTGGCTTAATTTTATAAATCAAGATGAACCACATATAGATAATATATTTACTGATTTACGTAGTGGGTTGGCGTTGATTAGGTTGATGGAAAAATTGACAGGAAAGACATTAGATAAAAAATATGATAAAAATCCAAAAGATGTTATTCATGAAAGAGATAATATTGAGTTATTACTTGGCTTTATGAAAAGAAATAAAGTTGATGTACGAATTGTTGCACAAGATATATTTGACCAAAATAAAAAACAGATATTACAATTATTTAACACCTTAGTTAGAAAATATCACTACAAAGGTTTGTTCTTTCTTTTTATTAAAACATTTAAACAAAGAATAAATAATAATTAAATAGAACACAACCTTCATCCTAATGACTTTAATAAATGGTTATCAAATATTTTTGGAAGAGACGTTTATGTAGAAAAAGAATACATGGATGAACATTTTTGGGAAAAATTAATTAATTATTTTAGGGTTGATAGTGTCTTAGAAAAAGAATTTACTAATGATCCTAAAACCAATATAAATTATTGTTTTACAGCTGCTAGAGATTTTCTTGGAATCCCAATCATTATGGAACCTTCATTAGTTGCTAGTGGATTTTTAGATGATGAAGTGTTAACAATGTATCTAGTATATTATGTACTTAAGGATAAGAATATTCGTGATGATGAAGAAATTAAATTTCTTCAAATTGATGTTATTTCTGTTTCATCACCAAGTCAATTAAGTAGATCAACAAGAGCACGACCAAAAACAAGAATAAC